ATTTAATTTATTAGAATATTTCAAATGGTTGCTTCCAACTTCTTAAATTCGAACCATTTGTTAACGAAACAACTGTTGGTGAAGTGAATGTTTTATATTAACGTTTATTTTTACGTTATCAAATTCACGATTTTGATTGGTCGATCAACAATTGCATGGGTTAAAATTTTGCGTTACCAGAACGGTCTCTCCTATTATATGTAATAAATGATTGAATCATGTATTTTTATTATTATAATGCTATGAAACACTCAGCGCAGTGGTATATTTATTTTTTGACCATCTTGTATAACGTTGTATAATGATAAATGATTTCATGGTTTGAATATGCTCACCATCTGTAAACTTGATTGCTTGAAGATGGACAGGGACGTCGTAGAAAGTTGACCTGAGAGGAATTTCTCTACGAAAAAAAAACGAAACAAAAATGTGGGGACGGTCGTCCTATTTGTATTTTTTTTGAATTAATAAAATAGACTATTGTCTTTACCTGAGTGATGTCGTTGTCTGAGTAAAAGGCACAAAGCTCACTGTCACATTTTCGTTTAAAAGCTTGTTTTATGTAAACAAAAAAATATTGGTTGTGTGACGTATCCTGCAGATCGACAGGGAAGTTTAATATTACTGTATAATAATAATAAACACCATTCTAATTAACGTAAATGAATTTCAAAAAAGGGGCAATCTGGACATTCAGAAAACAATCGTAATAATTCCAACTGTTTCCTAAAAAGAAAATCTTTCAATGGTGGTGGTGATTATTGATGTAACTCGTTACTCTAGTTTATATTGTAATTAAGGATACCGGCTGCAGCTTTTGATGAGTTAATATTAAATTAATAACAACGGAATCTTACGAAGCGCAACATTAATATTAATATTAACGCATTTTGAGATTATTTTTTAAGGTTCACCTTAAGTTTTTCTCCAAACATATATATTATTCTTAGATATAGCATACATATTAATATTTTATAAAAGGCATTCAATTTAATCATTAATTGCTTATTATAACAATTGGTCAACTTCAAAATACTAAAACAAAAAAAATTATATCATTTTAAAAAATTTAACCGATAAGTTTTATT